CTCCCTCCTGCTGCACCTGAGAGGGGGAGGAGGAGGGAAAAGCTCCGAGCGCTGGCGCTTTTTTGGGGGGCAAACAGGTCCATGAAGGGGTGAAGCAGGAGAGGGGTGGAGGCTGCTCTGGCTGGGGCCGAGGTGCAGACAGAAATTGGGATGGGAATTGGAGGTGATGTGAAAGCTGTACCTGGCGAGGCAGGAGCTGGGATTGAGGCAGGAGCCGGGCTGGGCCTGGGCAGCTGCCCGCAGGAATGGGGGGAATGGGGCTTTACACGGAACCGGAGGGCTCGGGGGAGAGGGGACAGGGCTGTCCCAGCGCTGCCAGCGCAGGTGCGGTGGGACCAGCTCGGGGGTAAAGCGGCAGCGCCGGGGGGCTGGAAATGTCCCACCAGGTTTAACCCCAGCCTGGCCAAACCCCTGCCGCTCCACGGGGGAAAACCAGCCTTTATCAGGGCCCAGGGGGTTCGGGACGATGGGGGAGAGGACAGGGACGTCCCCAGCGCAGGTAGGGTTCTGTAAAATCGGGGGCTGAAGGGCCGAGCGAGCCGCTGGAGGGGGGATCACACCCATTTTGTCGTTGTCGTCCCCCCACCCCCACCGCTCTGGGGCACCGGCGGGGGGAAGGAAACGAGCCAGGGCCACTTGCTCAAGAGCCCGGGAGCCAGCGGCTCCTTCCCTGTGCCATGACATCACCGCAGCGCCGGGGGAGCGGGGGCGATGATCCTGCGGGATCCTGCGGGCCGGGATGGGGCCGAGCCCCGCGTCCTCTCCGGCCCGGGCGCTGCTTCCCTGCCGTTTATTTCCCTGCCGAGAGCTTCCCTCTCCGTGATTCCCACAAGAGGCGTTTTCTCCCGGGGCAGTGTCCGATGGCAGCAGCGGGGGTCCCTCACAGGTTGAGCTCTGTGAAATGCAGCTCCTGGCATCTGGGCAGTAACAAAACCTTGATCCAAGGTGATATTCTCAGCCAGGTTTTGCCCTCATCTACTTACCCCACACCGGTTCAAGTCACTGGAATAAATATTTTCTCTGCAAATGCTTTAAAAATACAACTTTAAAAAACCCAAACAAACTAAAAGGATCATGATGACCAACTCTCCAACCCTGCTCGGCCCTCACCTTCTGCTTTGTTCCATACTGTTTTAACGACTTTCCCTAGGAACCAGGTTATCCTGATCCCACGGGCTCATTGCAGCTCCTGTGCCCAAATCTCCTGCAGCCACGGACCAGTAACATGCAGGGACCTTTGAAACCTCTGAGTGGATCAGTAATGGGACAAGGAGCTCGTCCATGCTCCTCCCTGGCTGGGGAGAGAGCTCCCCATCCCAAACCTTCCCACAAACTCTGGAGCTGGTTCAGAGCAGAGGAGCTGACTGGAGCTCGCCTGTGTGAGCGCAGAGATCAGCCTGGCACAGCTTGGCTTGGAACCCAGAGGTTGCAGGCATGGAATGGTTTGGCTTGGATGTGACCTTAAAGACCATCCAGTGCCATGGTGGGGAGGCCCTGGTGCACATTCCCAGAGCACCTGTGGCTGTCCCCAGATCCCTGGAAGTGTCCAAGGACAGCTTGGATGGGGCTTGGAGTAATCTGGGGCACAAATACCTGGTGTTGCTGCCACGAGCAACATGAGATGCGCTTTAAGGTCTCTTTCCACCCAAACCATTCCATGATTCTCTGGACAGGGATGCCATTAAGCCAGGCAGGAATCACCTCCCCAGGGCTCCATGGCTGTTGGGAGGGCAACACCAACACTGGATTTGGGGCACTTGGAAACACAGAGCATTGGGAGACCCTCTGGCAAAGGGCTTTCCCAGCTCCCCCCCTCCCAAGGGGAGGAAACGGCTGAAATTCTGTCCAGGGGAGAAGCAGAAATTCCAGCACCAACACAAAAAATGGAGATTG